CTACAGCTGGCCACAAAAAAAAACATATATATCTAAGAAAAAGTCTTCATTTATTGTTTTGAGAAAATATATATTTTTTAAAAACTGCGGGTCATTACAACAGTTTTTTTTATATAGAGATGGAATTGAGAAAATAATGACTACGATAGAAATGCTGCCATGGAAGAAAAGCGAAAATGGAATATGAAAACAAGGGAATGATAAAGATAAAGGATAAAGTCACTAGCAATAATAACAAGAAGAATCTACCTACTGTAATGATTAACTACAATACATAAGCTACGGTATTTCTGAAGGAGTGGAATGGGAGGCGAGGATTAAATGGAGGGATGGGAGGAGGAAGAAAGGAAGGAAGGAAGAGGTGAAGATAAAGAATGGAAGAAGGAGGGGAGAGATAAAGAATGGAAGTGAGAGGGGAGAGATAAAGAATGGAAGAGGGAGGGGAGAGATAAAGAATGGAAGAGAAAGGAAGAAGGAGAGGAATAGGAGAGGGAGGGGGAAGATAAAGAACGAAAAAGGGAAGAGAAAGATAAGAACTGGAAGAGGAAGGGGAGAAGACCAATGATGAAAGGAGAAAGGGGAGAAATAAGAGGATGGTAGCAGGAGAAAGAAGATAAAAAAGGGAAGAGGCAAAGGGAGAGGAGACGTAGCGGGACCAGGCGTCATGCGTGTAAAAAGGGAATGTAGTAGCTAAAGATGCCTCTCGATCCTTTTATTTATCTATCTATTTATTTTTACATTTCGTCTATGAAACAAACTCACGTTCGCTCTTCTTAGATGCCACTCTACCCTGCCTGTTGTTGCTGTTGCTGCTTTTGCTAAATCTGTTTTTATTTCTACCAGCTTGGCCTTTCTGCGACTGGCCTTGCTCCGTCGACTTCTTGCCCCTGTTCTGCGATTTGTTCTTCTGTTCTTTGTTTTTCCCTCCCGGCCACTCCACGCTCTCCTCGTTGAGTTCAGCTTTCAGCCAGTCGGGGACCTGGAGGGGTGGGGGGGGGGGGAGAGGGGTGAAAGTAAGGAAGGAGAAAGGCATTGCGCATTTTCATTCTTCTTCTCTCTGTTTGTCTCGTTTTCTTTTTGTTCTTTCTTTTGATCTTTCTATTTGTCTCGTTCTTTCTTTCGTTCTCTCTCTCTCTCTCACTCTCTCTCTCTCTCTCTCTCTCTCTCTCTCTCTCTCTCTCTCTCTCTCTCTCACACACACACACACACACACACACACACACACACCACACACACACACACACACACAACACACACACACACAACACACACACACACACACACACACACACACACACACACACACACACACACACAGGACAAGCAAACTCTCTCTCACAGACACACGTATTTGGACACGCAAAACACCCACTCACTAATTTTACTTTTTTTTTAAAAATAAGGATGGTTTTAAAAAAAGGGTGGTTTTAAAAAAGTTGTTTTAAAAAAAGGTGGTTATAAAAAAGGGTGGTTTTAAAAAAGTTGTTTTAAAAAAAGGTGGTTTTAAAAAAGTTGTTTTAAAAAAAGGTGGTTTTAAAAAAGTTGTTTTAAAAAAAGGTGGTTTAAAAAAAGGTGGTTTTAAAAAAAGGGTGGTTTTAAAAAAAGGTGGTTTTAAAAAAGTTGTTTTAAAAAAAGGTGGTTTTAAAAAAGTTGTTTTAAAAAAAGGTGGTTTTAAAAAAGTTGTTTTAAAAAAAGGTGGTTTAAAAAAAGGTGGTTTTAAAAAAAGGGTGGTTTTAAAAAAAGGTGGTTTTAAAAAAGTTGTTTTAAAAAAAGGGTGGTTTTAAAAAAAGGGTGGTTTTAAAAAAAGGGTGGTTTTAAAAAAAGGGTGGTTTTAAAAAAAGGGTGGTTTTAAAAAAAGGTGGTTTAAAAAAGGTGGTTTAAAAAAAGGGTGGTTTTAAAAAAGTTGTTTTAAAAAAAGGTGGTTTTAAAAAAGTTGTTTTAAAAAAAGGGTGGTTTTTAAAAAGTTGTTTTAAAAAAAGGGTGGTTTTAAAAAAGTTGTTCTAAAAAAAGGTGGTTTTAAAAAAGTTGTTTTAAAAAAAGGTGGTTATAAAAAAGTTGTTTTAAAAAAAGGTGGTTTAAAAAAAGGTGGTTTTAAAAAAGTCTGTCAATCTCTCTCTCTCTCTCTCACACACACACACACACACACCACACACACACACACACACACAACACACACACACACACACACACAAATACACACACACACACACACACACCACACACACACACACACACACCACACACACACACACAGGGCAGGCAAACTCTCTCTCTCAGACACACGTATTTGGACACGCAAAACACCCACTCACTAATTTTACTTCTTTTTTAAAAATAAGGATTATATAATAATTCACGTATGTATCTACTTATCAGGCGATATATCTACTTATATTTCCGTCCATCTCTATCTGCCTATTTATCCATTAATCAAAATATGTTAATCTATCAACTACTCACGGGTCCTATCGTGTCCATCTCGAGGTCGTCCTTTTCAGCTTCTATGCGCATGTCGTCGTTCATATTTTTTTCCTCCTCCATCTCCCCTTTGTCTTCCTTATTGTTGCCTTCTCCTCCTCTCCCTCCTTCTTGGTAAGTGGCTTTACCCATGTCCATGGCAGAGCCACTGGTGGAGGGGGAGAGAAAATTATGGGTGAAGCTGGTTAATGAAAGAGAGGGAACGCGGGGATAAAAAATATATATATATGTGAAATTTGATGATGAAAGAAAGGAGACGCGGGGTTAAAAAAATATATATGCTTAATGGAAGAGAGACAGTATTTAGATACTTGATGAGAGGGACAAAACACGGGGTTAAAGAAATGAATAACGTAGTTGATAAAGGAGAGGGAACTCGGGGGTAAAGAGAAAATTAACTTGGTGAAAGAGAGAGAACACGGAAATAAAACAGTGGTTAATGGAAGACGGGGAAATTAAATAAATTTTGATTACGAATGTTCACGGAAAGAAGAGGGAGATAGCGAGATCAAAAGGGTTAAAAATTTATTAAAATTACTGATAAAAAAGGGAAGTAAAATAACAATAAGAAATCGCTTATGTTAGATACCCTTTAAAAAAGTCTATCAAATCTCTCTCTCTCTCTCTCTCTCTCTCTCTCTCTCTCTCTCTCTCTCTCTCTCTCTCTCTCTCTCTCTTTCTATCTCTCTTCTTTCCATATATTCTCCCACTCCTCCCCCATACTCCCACTCCAACTCCCACTCCTCCTGCATACTCACACTCCAGCCCTGGGAAGCGGCACAGTGGTATCGACGACGAGGAAGATGCTCTGATTCTGGCAGTGGAGGCTGGCCAGGTTAACTATCTCTCCCTTGGCTATCTGGGCAGGCGAGGCGTAAAGGCTGCAAGGAAGAGGGAGAGAGAGGAAGGGTGGTTTAAAAAAGGTGGTTTAAAAAAAGGGTGGTTTTAAAAAAGTTGTTTTAAAAAAAGGTGGTTTTAAAAAAGTTGTTTTAAAAAAAGGGTGGTTTTAAAAAAAGGTGGTTTTAAAAAAAGGGTGGTTTTAAAAAAAGGGTGGTTTTAAAAAAAGGTGGTTTAAAAAAAGGGTGGTTTTAAAAAAGTTGTTTTAAAAAAAGGTGGTTTTAAAAAAGTTGTTTTAAAAAAAGGTGGTTATAAAAAAGGGTGGTTTAAAAAAAGGTGGTTTAAAAAAGGGTGATTAAAAAACGGGTGGTTTTAAAAAAGGGTAGTTTAAAAATGGGTGGTTTTAAAATAAGGGTGGTTTTAAAAAAGGGTGGTTTTAAAAAAAGGGTGGTTTTAAAAAAAGGGTAGTTTAAAAATGGGTGGTTTTAAAAAAAGGGTGGTTTTTAAAAAAGTTGTTTTAAAAAAAGGTGGTTTTAAAAAAAGGTGGTTTTAAAAAAAGGTGGTTTTAAAAAAAGGTGGTTTTAAAAAAAGGGTGGTTTTTAAAAAAGTTGTTTTAAAAAAAGGTGGTTTTAAAAAAAGGTGGTTTTAAAAAAGTTGTTTTAAAAAAAGGTGGTTTTTAAAAAAGTTGTTTTAAAAAAAGGTGGTTTTAAAAAAAGGGTGGTTTTAAAAAAAGGTGGTTTTAAAAAAAGGTGGTTTTTAAAAAAGTTGTTTTAAAAAAAGGTGGTTTTAAAAAAAGGGTAGTTTAAAAATGGGTGGTTTTAAAATAAGGGTGGTTTTTAAAAAAGTTGTTTTAAAAAAAGGGTGGTTTTAAAAAAAGGGTGGTTTTTAAAAAAGTTGTTTTAAAAAAAGGTGGTTTTAAAAAAAGGGTGGTTTTTAAAAAAGTTGTTTTAAAAAAAGGGTGGTTTTAAAAAAAGGTGGTTTTAAAAAAAGGTGGTTTTAAAAAAAGGGTAGTTTAAAAATGGGTGGTTTTAAAATAAGGGTGGTTTTTAAAAAAGTTGTTTTAAAAAAAGGTGGTTTTAAAAAAAGGTGGTTTTAAAAAAAGGTGGTTATAAAAAAGGGTGGTTTTAAAAAAAGGTGGTTTTAAAAAAAGGGTGGTTTTAAAAAAAGGTGGTTTTTAAAAAAGTTGTTTTAAAAAAAGGTGGTTTTAAAAAAAGGTGGTTTTAAAAAAAGGTGGTTTTTAAAAAAGTTGTTTTAAAAAAAGGGTGGTTTTAAAAAAAGGTGGTTTTAAAAAAAGGGTGGTTTTAAAAAAAGGGTGGTTTTAAAAAAAGGTGGTTTTAAAAAAAGGTGGTTTTAAAAAAAGGTGGTTTTAAAAAAAGGGTGGTTTTAAAAAAAGGTGGTTTTAAAAAAAGGTGGTTATAAAAAAGGGTGGTTTTAAAAAAAGGTGGTTTTAAAAAAAGGGTGGTTTTAAAAAAAGGTGGTTTTAAAAAAAGGTGGTTTTTAAAAAAGTTGTTTTAAAAAAAGGTGGTTATAAAAAAGGGTGGTTTTAAAAAAAGGTGGTTATAAAAAAGGGTGGTTTTAAAAAAAGGTGGTTTTAAAAAAAGGTGGTTTTAAAAAAAGGTGGTTTTAAAAAAAGGTGGTTATAAAAAAGGGTGGTTTTAAAAAAAGGTGGTTATAAAAAAGGGTGGTTTTAAAAAAAGGTGGTTTTAAAAAAAGGTGGTTTTAAAAAAAGGGTGGTTTTTAAAAAAGTTGTTTTAAAAAAAGGTGGTTTTTAAAAAAGTTGTTTTAAAAAAAGGTGGTTTTTAAAAAAGTTGTTTTAAAAAAAGGTGGTTTTAAAAAAAGGGTAGTTTAAAAATGGGTGGTTTTTAAAAAAGTTGTTTTAAAAAAAGGTGGTTTTTAAAAAAGTTGTTTTTAAAAAAGGATTTATTGAAAGGGTGTCGGGATTTGTTTCGATATTGGTTAAAATTGGTGTTACTTTAAGAAGTGTTGTTCAAGTTGTTTTGTTGTTTAGTGTTACTTTAAGAAGTGTTATTAAAGTTTCTTTTTTTTCATTTAGTGTTACTTTAAGAAATGTCATTTAAGTTTGTCTTTTTCTTTAGTTAGTGTTACTTTAAGAAATGTTAACTTACTTCGCTCTTACTTCACACTAAGCTTCTCCCTACGCTTTAATCTCACAACAACTCCCCCACCCCACCCCACCACCTCACCCCTCCTAACTCCTCCCACCCCCACCCCTTCTAACTTCCCCCACCCCCTACCCCCAAAACGCTCTACTCACGCTAAAACTTCCTGCGGGTTGAGGAGAACGTCACTCATCCTTATCTCCCGCTGGTGCCGCTGCGTCTCCTGGGTGGAGGTGATGCTGTTGCTGCTGCTGCCGCTGCTGCGCCTCCGTCCGTGTCCTGGGAGGGGGGAGAGGGGGAGAGATGGGGAGGGTCAGGAGGGGTGGTGGTGGTGTTTGGAGGGGGGTGATGGTGGTGGTGATGTGGTGGTGGTGGTGGTGATGGTGATGCTGATGCTGATGGTGTTGATAGTGGTGATGGTGATGCTGGTGATGGCTGTGGTGATTTGGTGTTAATGGTGGTGGTGGTGATGACACTGATAATAAGAATTATATCTAAGGTATATAGTCAAGATATATTTACTCATAGAATGTCAGAAGTTTCCATTTTTTCTTTTATTCCCTTTCTTTCCATCTTCTCTTCCTCTCTCTCTATTTATATCTATTTCCGTTTCTCTCTCTCTTTTCATTTTTTTCCTCCTTCTCTTTACTCCCTTTTCCTCTCATCCTCTCTTCCTTCCCTCTTTCCCCAATCCCTTCCTCTCACTCTCTCCATCTCTCTCACACTCTCTCCCTTCTCCCTCTTCCTCTCCCTTAAATCCAATTCTCTTCTTTTCCTTCTCCCCCTCCTTCTCTTTCTCTCTTAAACTCATCTCTCTCTCTCTCTCTCTCTCTCTCTCTCTCTCTCTCTCTCTCTCTCTCTCTCTCTCTCTCTCTCTCTCTCTCTCTCTCTCTCTCTCCCTTAAATACAATCCTCTCTATCGTCATCTCTCTCATCCCACTTTCTCCCTTCACATCTCTCCATATCCCTCTCCCTCTCCTTCTCCCACTCCCTCTTTTCCTCCCTCCCTCTTTCTTCCCTCTCCCTCATCCACTCCCTCCTTTTTCCTCTCCCTCTCACTCTTTATTTCCTCTCTCTTTTCCTTCCCTCTCCCTCTTTCCTCCCTTACCTGCGAAGTCAAAATCGGGGTCCTTCGAGTCTTTGGTGTCGGCCGACCCAAGTGCGTTCCGCTGTCCCCAAGTGTTCGTAAATCCTTCCTGGAAACGGAGCACGAAATCTGGATTATTAGTGTGTGAAAAATGATAAAAATAACAAAGCAGATAATAATTATAGCACTAATGTTTGACACTACTGATGACAATAACAAAAGAAAAAAACAGCAAAGATAATACCAATAACAAAATCAAATAATAATAATAATAATAATAATAATAATAATAACAATAATACTAACAATTTTAATAATAATAATAATAATAATAATGATAATAATAATAATAATAACAATAATAACAACAATACTACTACTACTACTACTACTAATGATAATAATAATAACAAAAACAACAACAATAATAATAAGATTACAGTAATACATCTGACATTATATTACTCACCTGCGTGTTTGGCCTCGACAGTGGACTGACAGCTCTCGTGCCCCACAGATAAATGGCATTTTCTAAGGTGCCAACGACAGTGAAGGTGGAACCGCAGTTAACCATCTGAGCAGATAGATGAATTGATAAAATAGATGGGTATGTATTTGATTAAATTGATGGACGGGTTAAAGGATGGAAAAAAGCATGGATGTTTGTAGATAATTTCGTTGATGGATTCGTATATAAAGCTGTTCTTAGATGAGTATGTGGTGATTCTTATCGCCACATCTTATCTTACTCGCCATATCTTGCAACCCACGAGGTACATGCGCGAACAGTTGCTTTGGGTTTGTTTTTTTTCATTAATTAAAAAAAACTGTCTGTAATTCAGAAAGGGGCCAAAAATCGCGAAGTTTTGAATTTCTTTTCGTCTTTGTACAAACATCATTTATATCTTGTTCATTACACTATGCATTCAAAGACTTCAAGCTACTAGCTATATCAAGATATTTCTCTCTCACTGCCATGTTTTAAGAAGACACTAAATGAACAAGTGACCAGTAAGTTCCTTGTAAATGGTCTGTAAGTACCTTGCAAATTACCTATAAGTGGCCTGTAAATGACCTGTAAGTGACCTGAGCTTACCGTAACAATCTTCGAAGCCAGACTCTTGACCAGAACAGGTTGAATGACGGACCGAGTGTTTCCTCGTCCCAGCTGACCTTCACAATTTCTCCCAAAGGTCAAAACCTGGAGAAATTAGGTCACTTGAGTTATTGTGACTCACTTGCTGTATATGTATCTCCATTTACGTCTATGTGCATTTCTACTAGTGAATGAAACTATATCTCATTTGATATACAGAGGTCGTGTGTGTATGCATATGTGTCTGTGCGTCTTTATGCAAGTATAAGTATGCAATGTGATGTATCTTCGTAAAAGCTGAAGCGAGGGCCCCTGTGCACCCACCTGGCCCGTCTCGGTGAGGACGGCCGTGTGCGAGGGCCCCATAGCCACGTCCACGACACGGCATCCGATGCACCTAACACGCGTCGCCACCACCGCCTTCTCTACCTCCTTATGCTGCCGGATTTAAAGTCTGTTTTAGGGTTCTTTATTATTAATTTTGGTTATTTTGGTTACTTGGGGGGAAGTTGGGAGTATTTTTTATATGTAGTTGTGGGTCTAGCTTCTCTTTTCTTCTTTTCCTCTATATCTGTCTCTGTCTTTATCTGTTTCTGCCTGTCTCTGTATGTTTGCCTTTCTCTCTCTCTCTCTCTCTCTCTCTCTCTCTCTCTCTCTCTCTCTCTCTCTCTCTCTCTCTCTCTCTCTATATATATATATATATATATATATATATATATATATATATATATCTCATTCTCTCTCTCTCTCTCTCTCTCTCTCTCTCTCTCTCTCTCTCTCTCTCTCTCTCTCTCTCTCTCTCTCTCTCTCATATACACCCTATCTGTCTCCTTCCCTCTTCCATTCACTCCCTCTCCTCTCCTCTCACTCACTCCCACCTTACTTCCCTTCACACCCTCATCCCTCCCCCAACATCACCCCCTCCCCTTCATTACCCTTACCCCATGTCCTTTCCTCCCCCACTCATACTCCCTCCCACCCTCTCTCCCTCCCTCCCCCATCGCACCTTCAACTTGATGCCGAAGAGACCTCCTCCCTCGCTCAATCCCAGTTTGTTCCTGGTGTTAGCTCCGCAGGCAAGCATCGCGCCCTGGTCGGTGATGAAGATGGTGCCGTCGCCGCCGCATTTCACGTTCGTCACTAGCAGTTCTTCCGGGATTTCGATCTCCGTCGGGAGGGCAGCTGGCGGGGGAGAGAGAGGAAGGATGTGAGTGGGGTCGTGAGGGGGGGTGGGAGTGGAATGGGAGGGAGGGAGGGAGGGAGGGAGGGAGTTGTGAATGGGAGGGATGGAGGGAGGGGGGAGGGAGTGAAATGGCGAGGGAGGGAGGGAGGAGGAAGGGAGTGAAGGGAATGGGAGGGAGGGAGGGAGGAGGGAGTGGAATGGGAGGGAGGGAGGGAGGGAGGGGGAGGAGGAATGGGAGGGAGGGAGGAGGGAGGGAGTGGAATGGAGGGAGGGGAGGGAAGGGAGGGAGGGAGGGAGGGAGGGAGGAGTGGAATGGGAGGGAGGGAGGGGAATGGGAGGGAGGAGGGAGTGGAATGGAGGGAGGGAGGGAGGGAGGGAGGGAGTGGAATGGGAGGGAGGGAGGGAGGGAGTGGAATGGGAGGGAGGGAGGAGGGAGTGGAATGGAGGGAGGGAGGGAGTGGAATGGGAGGGAGGGAGGGGAATGGGAGGGAGGAGGGAGTGGAATGGAGGGAGGGAGGAGTGGAATGGGAGGGAGGGAGGAGTGGAATGGGAGGGAGGAGGGAGTGGAATGGAGGGAGGGAGGGAGGAGGGAGGGAGTGGAATGGAGGGAGGGAGGGAGTGGAATGGAGGGAGGGAGGGAGTGGAATGGGAGGAGGGAGGGAGTGGAATGGAGGGAGGGAGGGAGGGAGGAGTGGAATGGGAGGGAGGGAGGGAGTGGAATGGAGGGAGGGAGGGAGTGGAATGGGAGGGAGGGAGGGAGTGGAATGGAGGGAGGGAGGGAGGGAGGAGTGGAATGGGAGGGAGGAGGGAGGGAGTGGAATGGAGGGAGGGAGGGAGGAGTGGAATGGGAGGGAGGGAGGGAGTGGAATGGAGGGAGGGAGGGAGGAGTGGAATGGGAGGGAGGGAGGGAGGGAGTGGAATGGGAGGGAGGGAGGAGTGGAATGGGAGGAGGGAGGGGAGGGAAGGGAGGGAGGGAGGAGTGGAATGGGAGGGAGGGAGGAGGGAGTGGAATGGAGGGAGGGGAGGGAAGGGAGGGAGGGAGTGGAATGGAGGGAGGGAGGGAGTGGAATGGGAGGGAGGGAGGAGTGGAATGGGAGGGAGGAGGGAGTGGAATGGAGGGAGGGAGGGAGTGGAATGGAGGGAGGGAGGGAGTGGAATGGGAGGGAGGGAGGAGGGAGTGGAATGGAGGGAGGGAGGGAGGAGTGGAATGGGAGGGAGGGAGGGAGGGAGGGAGGGAGTGGAATGGGAGGGAGGAGGGAGTGGAATGGAGGGAGGGAGGGAGGAGTGGAATGGGAGGAGGGAGGGAGGGAGGAGGGAGTGGAATGGAGGGAGGGAGGGAGTGGAATGGGAGGGAGGGAGGGAGGAGGGAGTGGAATGGGAGGAGGGAGGGAGGAGGGAGTGGAATGGAGGGAGGGGAGGGAAGGGAGGGAGGGAGGAGTGGAATGGGAGGAGGGAGGGAGGAGGGAGTGGAATGGGAGGGAGGAGGGAGTGGAATGGAGGGAGGGAGGGGAATGGGAGGGAGGGAGGGAGGGAGTGGAATGGGAGGGAGGAGGGAGTGGAATGGGAGGAGGGAGGGAGGAGGGAGTGGAATGGGAGGGAGGGAGGGAGTGGAATGGGAGGGAGGGAGGGAGTGGAATGGAGGGAGGGAGGGATGCTATTACCATCATGGTGTCTGTGTATCTGCATACCCATATATGTATGTAGGTATGTATGTGTGTTTGCGTGTATATATGTATGTATGTATTTATTTATTTCTGTATGTATACTTGTATGTATTTATGTATGTATGCTTGTATGTATATATGTATGTATATATGTGTATATATGTATATATTTATGTATGTATGCATATATGTATGCTTTAATTTATGTATCAATGTATGTATGTATGTGTTTATGTATATATATGTATATATGTATGTATGTATGTATATGTATTGTGTTGTTTGTTATTTACTTACACGTCCTCCTCCTGCCCCGTGCCCAGTCGCCCTCCCTCGCCCTTGCCCCACGCGTAGACGTCGCCCTCGCCGCCCACCACCACCACGTGTCGACTGCCGCAACTGATGGCGCCTACGTCCACCGATAAGAGCCTTTCTACATTGAAGAAACGAAGAAAATTGGGTCTTAGAATGAACCTTATTGACTGTTAATATTAATCAATTAAATAGTCTTAGAAACTCAATCAGCAACCTGGCCCCATCCTTACTAACGAATCTTGGCCATGGCTACGCCCGCATCCTCACCCTTACCAACTAGTCTTGGCCACCGGGGACACCTTGGCCTCACGCTTACCTACGAGCTTTGGCTTGGCCGAACTGTTCCAGTTGCCATGGCCAAGGCAGCCGGAGGTCCCGTCGCCGCAGGTCATGACGATGCCGTTGTCGGAGGCGAAGACGGAGAAGCCGTCGCCGGCGCACACGCGGGTGATCGACTTCCCCTTCAGGATCTCGACGACGGTGGGCCTCCCCCGCCACGCCTCCAGGCTCTCGTGCCCCAGCTGCCCCTTGCGTCCCTCGCCCCAGGTATAGACCAGGCACTCTGGGATAGGGACGGGGAAATATACAGAGTGTTACGGGTTTGGATTAGTGAGTCTTTGTCTCTCTGCCTCTCTCTCTCTCTCTCTCTCTCTCTCTCTCTCTCTCTCTCTCTCTCTCTCTCTCTCTCTCTCTCTCTCTCTCTCTCTCTCTCTCTCTCTCTCTCTCTGTGAGTGTGCGCATGTGTCTGTCTCCAAGGCATATGTATCTCTTTTCTCGTTTTTTTTCCTGCGTATTTATGATTTGCTGTTCAGGCTTCCTCCGAGGTCCTGTATTCTAGCTGCCGCTTGCGCCCTTCGCCCCACGTGTTGAGCAGACAATGGGACGGGGGAGGGACAATATACGGGGTGTGTCTAGGGAAGGGGTTTGTTTTCTCTTGTTTTGTCTACGTGCTTATGATTTGCTGTTTAGACTTCCGACGTCCTGTATTCTAGCTATCCCCTTATGCCTCGCGTTCCAAGGGGAAAGGGAAGGCTGGAGGGGGTAAGATCAGGGGTTTGGGGTTAGGGTCTGTGAATTTAGGGGGAGAATCTGCTTATTTGTGTTTTAGTCTACCTTTTTATGATTTGCTGTTCAGGTTCAAGCGACCACTTTCGCCCCGCGCCGCACGTGTATACCAGGGAAAGAAAGGGGCGGAGGGTATAAGTAGCGAATTGGTGGTTAGGCAGTATGGTTGGCAGGGAGTGGGAGGTTGTTTTTCTGTTTAACCTTTGAGTTTATGATTTGCTGTTTAGACTTCCGATTTTTGGGGCTCTATCTGCTGCCCCTTTGAGGTATTTTATTTTACAGGCAACAGAGAGGTTAAATGGGATGGTAATAATTAAAAGGGTTTATGGGGTTAGTATTTATCAGTTAGGGAAGGGGTTTGTATATTTATGTTTTGGTGTTTTGCCCATGTGTTTTATGATCTGCTGTTCATTCTTCCGCACTCAAGGGTACCCTCGCAATCAGACGAGAAGGTTGGTTGGGTGAGTGGAGTGGGAGGGTGTATTCTGGTGTGGGAAAGCAGAAATGTGGGTATGGGTAAACGGATATACTTGTATAGGTAAGCGGATATGAGTGTGGGTAAGCGGGTTTGTGGGCGTGTGGGTAAGCGGGTATGCAGATGTGTGGGTAAGCAGATATGTGGGTGTGGGTAAGCGGGTATGGTGGTATTCTGATG